CTTTTATTAAGAGTTGAATAATGCTAAATTTGATTGGGTGCACTGATAACCCACAATTTTTTCTTCTAAACATTCTGCCTGGAGAGAAATACTGATACACAAGAAAATGATACATATTGTTTAAGTGATAATAAATAAACCCCAAATCAAAGCAGGACTGGCATTTATCATACCAACTTGAACGCAACAAAACTAAATGGAGATTTTAACATATCCAGGTAAGGGGATTAATTAAAATGACCAATCCGCTCCACTGGGGTTTCTCCATTATCCTCCTTGGCTATCTCCACTGATGAAAATAAATTGTCAAATGCAAAAACTTTGCTTGCTTTATGGCCTTGAGGTGAGCATATGCTTTTTAAAAAAATATATTTATTTATTTGAAAGGCTGAGTTACAGAGAGGCATAGACAGAGGGAGGGAGGGAAGAAGGGAGCAGAGAGAGAGAGAGAGAGCGAGAGAGAGAGATGTCTTCCATCTGTTAATTCACTCCCCAGATGACTGCAATGGCCAGAGCTGCACCGATCCGAAGGCAGGAGCCAAGAGTTTCCTCCAGGTCTCCCACATGGGTGCAGGAGCCCAAGGACTTGGGCCACCTTCTACTGCTCTCCCAGGCCATAGCAGAGAGCTGGATCAGAAGTGGAGCAGCCAGGACTCTGGAGGAACTGGAGCCCATATGGGATTCCAGCACTGCAGGCAGCAGCTTTACCCACTACACCATAGTGCCGGCCCCGAGCATATGTTTTATTTTGCACATTTTATTACTTGTTAAAGAGGCACAGTCCGGAAAGTAAGTGTGGATTCCTATGCCAAACACCATCCTGTATAGACAGTCTGAATTGATTAAAGTCTCATTTACTAGATTTTCTAAAGCGCAATTGTCCTCAACTTAGAAAAACAAAGAAACAGAACCTGCTAACATGTACAACTTCCCTCCTACTCCAGATCAAAGGAAACACTCAGGAAAAAAATAAATATTTGGAAGGAAAATTCAAGACAAGTCAAAATAAGCCACAATGAGTGTAATGTTCCCTGAATTACTTTTTTCCAACTCAAACTGTATGTAATCCCCTATTCAAATGAGCATACCAGTACATGTTAAGGATCTGTAAAGATGATAGAATTAAATATGTTGAAAATCCACAGGGAAAGGATGGTTTTCTGTCACTAAAATCTGTTCTTCCTGTTTCCATCATGATGTATCATGCAACTATGATGAAAGTATTTACAAAACAGAAATGTAGCATTCTTAGTTCAAAAACAAGATAGTCCCTGGTAAATTAATAATGGAATTCTCCTGTTAACCTTAGAGGTTCATAAGTGGCAAAATCAGGCAATTCCTTCTTGGAGTCCTGAATAATGCAGAATAGAGAAGTTTCACTAATATGGAAAGGCAACAGATACATCATAAGCATTTATAAACTTGGGATAGTATAAACACTTTCCCGTGGGAAGCACAAGTTGACAGGACTCCTACTTTTATAACCTGATCTGAGAGCTAAAAGCGCCCCCATAAAGATGATGCAAACACCCTAATGCACAGCACATTAAGCCCTAATGAAACAGCAAAGTCCGCGTTGTTAATGCAAGCCTCCATTCAGCAATGGTTTAAATATAAGCATAATAAAGCAGATTAAAAAGAAAGAAGCTGTAATTACTTTTTTAAGAACTCAATCTCTTGTCCCATTATTGGGTCTACATATAAGCCTCAAAGGCTGAATACAGATAGTAAAAATCACATGAAGAGCTTGCCAATCATGCTGTATCCTTTACTTTTAAAATTTTAAGCAGAACAATTGATAAAACATGCAAGAGAAAATGAGAAACCGGGGAACTAACATCCGGGTTCAATAAATTAGCTCTGAGCTAGCAATTTTATCTTTTCTTGGTTTTCATGGTAAAACATGTATGCCTCTTCCAATTTCAGGGCTGGATGTTCTAACTCTGTGCAAGGAAGAGCATCCTAAATTGGACACGCTAAGAAAAGACAGTCCCAGCTGTATGGTCGTCTCTATAAAGTGACCTCCATGATCCTGTTTGAGCCTCTACGTAAGATGCAACACAAAGAAACACTGCTGTTGGACACTATTTTTACAGAACTGGAATCCTCTGACTCAGTTCCTTGTGATATAATTTATAAAGACGTGCCTATTATCAGTTAAAGTACTCCTGAATGTCAGTTTTCCCTCCAGATATACATCAAGTCATTTGATCTTAGAACTGGAAATCTTAGAAATTGTTTAAGCTACTTCTTTTACCCAACTGTATATTTTGTATTGGCACTCAAGTCAGTTCAAATTATTTAAAACATCCATGTCAAACCAAAATATAGATCAAAGCCACAGAGTTCTTTAAGTTCTTTACTTCTGGCTTCTGTTCTTTTTCCTTGGCCTATAATGTCATAAATCTATCATTAACCACCAACTGTTCTGAATGGTTTAAAAAAAAGCAATGTTTAATTGAAAAAGATTAATGAATTGTTCATGTATTACTTCAATTAACTCAAATTATATATTTATATAAGTCATTCCCGAAATGGAATGATAATCTGCCTGTAATACTCATGTTTACCAACATCTTTTATCAGAATACATATAAGCCATATACTACATATTTCTGACAAAACTGCATAAAGAAGTTCTATAGTCAGCATTTTCTCTCCCTTGCTTTTAGTCTGCACACAGTGCAAATGCCAAGGAAAGAACCTCTCAAAAAGCATTTCAGCAACACAAATGTGTGGGTAAAAAGAGGAATTTCAGATGTGCTTTCATTATTGAATTTATGCATACAGAGAAACTGTTCATTCAAAGCTGAGTATTTATTTCAACATAAATACATTAGGAAGTTACCTCTTCTTGCACATGTTTATGCATCCATACCTGGTACATGTGCAGAGCACTCAGGATTGGCATTTGGTCTAAAAATATATCTAGAGTTCTTTTCATCAATTGAAGTTGACTCTCTTTAGACTATTTCAAAATCTGATCATTCCTTTGAAATAATCGCTCACTCTTCCACAGATTGCCTTTTCCTATTTTTAGAAATATTATTTCTCCTTGAAAAAAAAATTGATCTTAACAAGATTATCTTTCTGCATGCCATTTCCTACCACTCTCTGTCTTCTTTACTGTGTGTTGCTGCAAGGACTTAGTAGACAGCCTCGTCTAGCATCAGCTGTTTCATTTCTACTTCTATTAGTTCAAACTCAGATAGCTCACACATCTGTTTTATTTCTAAAATCACTGCCCAGGAAAAGTGTTCTCCCCAAACATAAACTTCACTATAAATAACTAAGGACCTAACAAATAACTGTTTGGGGGGAAATGGAAGTGTGTTTAAAAATCCGAATTCTTCCAAACTATAGGCCTTAGTAATCTTCATTTTAGAGCCTTCCTGACAGCCGAGATCAGCTTCCCTCAGAAGTCGTCCCTGGAGTGAACAAACTGAAACTCCTGCCGGAAATCCAGGTATTAACATCATATTACTTGCTAATTATAAAACACCATTTCACATACTGACATTATTCACTTCCAACCCTTTTATCTAAAACACGTATTTGCTTTCCAATCATAGTTTGACAGCACAGTGTATCTGACATAAGACAGTGAAATGATCTTTAATAAGACAGCAGTTCAAAGCATGTAGCTTTCATGCATAATAACTATGTTGGCTTAATTTGCTGCTCCACAGCAATAATTCTATTTGTGGAAATTCATGAAGTGAAATGAAATTTTTAGAGAGCTTTACCAAGATGAAACTGGATTTTCATGACTTCTTCCTTCTATCTCCCTTAAAGTGGTAAGATTGTGATTCGGGCATTTAAAAGACACCAGAAATTTGTCTGCTGGTGGTTCTTATAAGTGTTTCAAAATATGTTCACTACCTTTTATTTATAACCCCTTTGCCTTTCTCAATTGACACTAGTGCAACACAGAGGTCTAGGGCAAAGGTGCTCTTCTGTTGACAAAAATGACAGATATTTTTAAAAGGAGTTAGTAGCTCAAATGAGTATGAGGTGATTTCATTACTGCTCTGGTACTTCTCCTAATCATTCCTAAAGAAGGTTAATATTAAACCTAATATGTTTTGAAACCCCCCTGGCCTAATAATACAATAAAAATCTACAGACTGTAACAAAACTAATATACTTTCTCTCAAGCTGGCTATGAGTTTTGACTATGCTAAAATTACACAAATGCCCTTCCTTCGATTCAGTTCCATGGTTCATTCTTTTTAAGATGGTAACAGATTTTTTTCCGTACATTTCATATATGCCATAAACTAGAGATGGAAAATGAGATCAAAAAGGTACGCTGGCTTTAATAAAAATATAAACCTAAATTACTGCTAAATGTTTTTGTAAATTGCCATTTTCCTTAAAAGCAGAAAGGAATGCTTTATTGGCCTGCATCAAGGTCATCTGGTGTCCTTAGTACTTACAATCACATTGACTTCATTTTAATCAATGTGAAATGTTGTTTCCAAATTCTCATTTGCAATCACTTTGCCTTTTCAGGAGTATGTCCCTGTAACTATCAATAGCACCCAAATCTGGTCAGGCTGACCATAAAAGCAAATCCTACAGGAAATACAGGAAAGATACTCACTGAAGGAAAGGTTACAGCAGAAGCCTCCCGATCTAAAATTAGAACAAGTCATGAATTACTATCGTGCACAACCATAAAGATTAGTGCCACTTTTGGAAGATGGAGAAAATATCAAATTACCATGAAACAGATCCTGAAATATTAAGCTTAGCTCATTCCATGAAGAGACTTTTCCCAACCTAACAGAAATGTTGGAACTGCTTTCCAAGATGAGAGGCTAAAGACAACTTTGAATTTAGATGAAGGAGCTGTGGAGTGCGTTCACCTCTTGTGCTGGATCGGGAAGGCTACCCTGGGGGTACTGAGCCCCTGGTTTTAATAGGCATACAAGCACACACATTGCCAACACTAATAACTTTTGCTGACCAAAGCGATCGCAATACAAAACACAAACCTGCACGTCATAGGTCCCATTTAGTAAAACAGGCCTTGAAGAGTTGATGTCCTGCAGCACACCAGAAAGCACAGAACGGTTGACCTTCTGGAAGTCTTTGGAATGGCTGAACTGCACCATGTTATGAAGGGCCAAGATTTTGCTGTCCAGCTCAGCATCCTGCCTGGTGCGGTTATGCAGTCCTAAGTGATACTTTCGGAAGTGCTTGATCAGATCTGTGGGGTCGTTGCCATAGTAACCATAGCCACAGATATTGCATTTAAAGTCCTGAAGCTCTGGAGACAGAGGTGCCGGATCTGGGTTATCATTCACCAGGAACTCAGTTTTGGATTTATTAAGTCTTACACCCCCATCTGAAGGCACTTGTGGGTTTTTTGAGGCCACTGAAACTGGGCTTAAACCTTGACAATTGGCTTGACCGCTCTGCACTTGCCCTGTTTCCTCGGTAGCCTTTGGTGACATCTTATGCTCTTCCTTTGTCTCCAACGAGTCCCCTGATGGGGTACAGGCCATATCTTGAGGGTCATCTGCCTCTGCTTTTTGAGGAGACTTCAAGGGCTCACAGACTCCCGCAGCAGCTGGAGATGAGAAAGCCAACATATTTCTGTCTGTCACCTCATCATGAGGGAAGGAGGGAAGGCTTCCTCCCTTATTGGGGCTTTCATAATTGAAGCCAGCCTTCTCACTTTTCAAGTCCTTCTTGCTGCTAGAAGACGGATCTTGGGCAAGCGAGCCATGCTCCTCCTTGTTGTTTAACTCTGCAGCATCACTCTGATCCGTGTTTTCTGACATCTGATCTGCAGAAAAGTCTTTGCTCTTTCCAGATACTTTGCTTTCTGCACCTCTAGGCTCCAGGCTCTGGCCCTCGCCTTCGCTAGCGACGTTTCTCAGAGGGGGGTTCTTTTTCCGGACCATATCTGTAAAAAGACAAACAGAAGGCAGATGCAGGGTTAATTGAAAGTAGCAGGCATATGATCAAATCTAGAATATTTTACTTATTCTATTCAGGATTTTGTGAGGTATATAATTCATTTTTTTTTCCTTTAGAGGAAAAGTAAGTTTAAAAAATCGCACAGAATTGAGACTAGAGCAAACAATTTACATTTACAATTATTTTTGCCACAAATAGCAGTCCATTCATTATTTTTAAATATGAATAGTAAAAGCTTCATTATTATTACCAGGTCTGTCTTCTTGTTACTTATCCTTTCCTGCTGATTATATTTTTGTTCAATTTCTTTCCTCCGTTATAGTTGGGGACATACACACATACTTCTGTATTTATACATGTTGTACATTATATATAGTGTGTACACATGTTATGTTTACAGAATATATACATGTTTATGTTTAAAGAAGACATATTATGTATTTATCTGATATGCATATGTACATATAAACATAAACTGGAATTCAATATTGTTACACTGTGGGACAAAGGTATAAATACAGGTTCAGCCAGAATCTCTACATGATCAAAAAGACAGAAACAACCTTGTTATAAACAGAGTGAAACTGCCCCCAGTCCTTTCAGGAAATGGAGGATGACAAATGTTTCATCTTTGACCTCCCAACACAAGTCTTGAAGCCACATTTGAGGCTGGCATCGTAGTGTCAGGTCAGGATTCCAGCCAGCCTAAGTGGAAACCCAGCTAAATCCCACATTTCTGCACACAAACTGCTGAAAATCGTGCAAGAGTCACCATCAGGAGCACACTGCAAGCTGACTGAAGTAAAATGCTACGTTGAAACTTACACTATTGCCATTTTATAGCTTTAAATTTCAAAACCATGGCAGTTTTCTTCTCTGAGGCTCACCTTTATGGGCTAACACGACTGTGCCTTTCAAGTTAGCAGCATCAGGAACTAAGATCAAAATATGAATGCTGCGACAAATTCCTCTACAGGAGTCCAAAATGAGTCAGAACTCAAAGGATGCAGAGAAATAAGAAGCAATCTGTGTCACGTCCATAAAAACTGCGTTAACAAGGGCTTGTCGCAGGCTGTTCTGGGGCTGTGTCCCTTAATCGTTCAGCTGAAGCACTGTCAAGTACTGTGTGAATCTAAGTTACCACCCCAAATGTCTCTTGGAAAATTCCACCTGTGACTTTCTAATAAAACAAGCCTCTTTATGAGCTGACTCTAGCATGAGGACCAATTTCACAGAGTTAGGTACCCCACGATTATCCAAAATGTACTGAAAAAAATCCAAATTAATAGCATGGTTTAGCTGTTTTTGTCTACTATTACTCACAAGGGCTGAGGAGCCACACTGGCGTTGGATAGGCCGGTATACCCTTCGCTCTGAAAAGCTGGTCAAGCAAAATTTTTATAATATAAATCACTGAACCAGAACAATGCACTAGTTATAGGATAAGGAATCCTTCGCAACGTAAAAATCTACTTCATGGTTAATTTCAAAAATAGAAGTGTACTTAAGAAAGTAAATGTTCTTCCAATACACCAATAATGTTATTCATCAACTGGATGTAGAATTTTCCTTCTGGAAAAGCAACAAAATTCTTACAGGATGAAAGACTGAAGTTTCCAGTGAAAGTGACGGTGATGAAGCAATGTAAACCTGAACCTGCCTGACCTTCTGTGGGAAGAAGGCGGAAACCATCTCACCTTAGTGTTACTCCACTAGGGCCTAAAATGAACTAAGCCAGGGAACCATGGTTAAAAAGGGAAACACTGGTTAATCGTCTTGTTTCAATGTTTGCATTTCCGTGTCTTATGGCTTGACATCAAAGTTTTAGGAGACCTGTTTTTTCTGTCTGAAGTGACTAAGGTAGCTTTCAGCACTTGTAATAACACATGGAGGACAGGAGAACAATTTTACTGGTAGCCAACAAATGGAAAAATGAAAAAGAAACAGAAAGAATAAAAAGAAAACTTAAACAATTAGTGATCATTTAAAATACACGTTTTAGAAAATTCATTCTCTCAACCTGGCTTACAGAAAAGAACAATCCTGGTTGCAGAGTGTCCAATGTCCCTACATTTAAAAATGTAATAGCCTGGGATGGCATGACTTGTCTTTCCTTCCAGAATTTTCTGATTTATTTTTTCCATTATAACATAACTATCACAACATAGTCTTTCCTTGGATAAATACTGAAAAACTATATCAATTGTGTTTTAACATTTTTACCCTTCATGTGTCTAAAAGCTAACAATGACTCGTCAACTGAGTGAAATAAATAAGGTTACATTCACAAAGAAGGACAGAAATCCTATCTCAAAGCAGAAGCCAGAAGAAACAAGGAAGAAATAATCCAAGAGGAAGATAAAGTGGTGGTCTGAGCCCATAAATTAATGGCTTGCTAATTGGAGAAACGGCAATATTTTCACATTTTCAATAGCAAGGGAGCTAAGGTAAAATACTTAAAGGTGACTAGAGCTAAATAGATTAATATTAAAAAAATTAACTTACTTTTCAGAACAGAGAAAGGTATTTAGCTCTTTCTTACTTATTGCTCTCGTTAAGAGATGTAATGGGTCATGTTTAAAAACTACCCACCCAGCATCTTTAGTGCCTGAGAGAAAATATGATTTAATTACATTATCATCTTTTCAGATTTCAGTTCCTCTTCCACCCAAGAACAACCTTTAGAACGCATATGACTCACCGACTCCTCATGCTGAATAGAGCCCTTAATAATATACATTGCAAAGAATGTTAAACTGCTAAAACTTCAAAGACGTTTCAGAAAGGTCATTTGGGTTTTATTTTTTGTTTTGAGGGCAGGGATATGTTCTTTATAGTTGCTGGGCTTTTTTAAAAAAATCATTCTTTATTTACTTGACTATACTTTGAAGTATAGAAAAAATAATTTTTACTGGAATTATAGCATCATAATTTTTCAGAGTGACATATTATGTAAATATACGCACATTTGCAATACTTCTAAATGGAAGAAACTCCTCTAGCATGTCATAAGTTAGATACCATAAGACCATAGCCACCCTCAAGTTATTATCTCTAAGACAAATAACAGATTGCATGATGTTTTGCTTGTGCCAAGAACTTTTCCAGTTAACATTTTCACTTGAAAAAATAGATCACATACTTGTAAAATCATACCCAGCATTGACTTCATAAGGCATGTGGCTTTAGAGTGCTTTCTACAATTATTAATTCTATTAGTCAACTAGCAGGAGGCTAATGCGATTGTCTGAGAAGAGGCTCGGAAGACACAGAGGACATTTTGAGAGCTGATCTGCACATCTGTAAAACAGAGCAAAAAAAAAAAATTCCTTCCTAAATAAGGTAAACATACTTTAATGGATGACACCTAAAATACATTATTATGCCAGCGCCGTCAGCCGCTTGAAAAATGTCTGAAAAAAGCACGAGCAGACCTTGAGCAAGATCCTCTCCCTCCCTTGGGTTTTAATAAAGCAGCAGGAGGAACATGATAGAAAAGATTACAGGACAAGAAGTCATTTTCGAGCAGATCGTGGTATGGTGAAATTATTTAACCTCTAAAACCCCCTCAGCCTAAGGACTATCACACTTATCTACACTGCGAAGAGGGAAAAGATCTTAATTTGTCAACACCAGCAATGATCTTAACAGGGAGAGTTTCCAAGCAGTTAAAACATATAATCACGTCCAGGCACCTTAGTTGTAAGTTTTGGCAACTCCATTTTAAACCTGATCATTCTAACAACATAGCAATATCCTTCACACACGCTACAAAAAAAGAAAAAAGAAAAAGAAATGTGTGAAATGTCAGAGAAGGTAGAGCAACTATAGAGAGTCACTTTAGATAATGGGGCTAACAGGGAATGGAGCAAAGAGAATTGAAGTATCCAAAAGAAGTATAATGTTCAAGCTTTCTCATGCAGGTCCTCCACTGAGATACAAAAACTGGATCTTCAGGCATATTGGTGAGCCTGTCCACATTTATAGTATTTTCCACCTACACAAACACATGAATGGTCTTTCAACACCCTATATAATACGACTGCTAGGATATTTAAACAAATTAAAAATTATATTGAGCCTCCTCCAATTAATTTCCTTGGCTCAGACATAAGACATTCCATCTGAGAAAAAAAAATCAAATTTCTTCTTCTAATTAACCAGATTTCCTTCAAGATTAAAATTTAAATCTAAAAGTTTTCTTAGAAAAAAAAAAGTGTGCAATAATAAGCTAAATTGTAAAAAAGAAAATTATAGGTGATTACACTATTTCTATGTTACATTACTATTTAGACAGATTTATGCAGTGGAAATAATCAGCATTAGACCTAAAATGTAATTCTGCTAACTACTTTATCTCACTGATCAAAATGCTCACATAAATACAACAAACATTTCTTCTGTAGAAGACTGAATCACATTCTCAGAGTGGCATCTTCTCAGCGAAAGGGATGAGTTCTCTTTTATTACCTAAATACTGTGAAATAATCCACAAATGATTTAGTTATATTTCACTGCTATGTATACAGGTATATATATAAATACACACTCATGACATTTTCTTCCAAATGAACTTACAGATAATCAAACAAATTATTCAACAAAGGAAATAAATAACTACTGCAGCAATTTAAAAAGGAAGATGAAGGGGTGGGCATTTGACCTAGTGGCTCAGACGGCAGCTGGGATGCCAGCATCCCATATTGCAGGCCTGGGTTTGAGTTCCAGCTCCACTCCAGATCCCAGCCTCTTGATAACGTGCCCTCTGGGAGGCAGCAGCAGATGGCTCAACTGGCTTAGTCCCTGGTCCTCACATGGGAGACTCAGGTTGTATTCCAGGTTCCTGGCTTCAGACTGGCACAGTCCAGACTACTGTGGCCATTTGGAGAGTGACCCATCAAATGGGGGCTCTTTCTTTCTGTCTCTACCTCTTAAATAAACAAAAAATTTTAACAAGAAAAGCTAGTATCATCTGTGCACTCAATG